AGAAGGATGAGGAGGAAGGACAGAGGAAAGAGAAGTAGGAGGAGAAAAAGGGGTAGCGAGAGCGCGGACAGTGGAACGATTCGGTGTCTTCCCTACCCGGAGACAGTGCTTTGTTATTGTTGCATTTTTTGGTTATGATAGAGGCTCACTCAAGCATGGCCAAGGCGGAGACGGCCACGCCTCTCCATTCATTGTTCAAAGGGTGATATTCTGATTTTTCACAAACCTATTTTAGTCCAAGAGAGGGGCCTAGTGACAGATGAAATCGTCCACAAATAAACCATTGTGCTCGTGGGTGGACGCTGGGAAATATGGAAAATTGCATTTCAATAGCGAATGTTGGCCGAACCCACCTGATATAATCATAATTGCGGTCTCATATTTCTCGCCTTATCAGATGATGCCAGACAGAAATAGCGCCCACTTCCGAATGAAGACTACGTAAATAAGCCTATGGAGACGAGCACGCTTCAAAGCAAGCAACCAGACCATTGTGGCTAGCCGTAAGCATTTTGCATTAATGGTATTGAAGAAGTGCGTTGATTTTTGCTGGGTATTGTCTATGGACAGAGATATGGCCGCAAAATTATGCGGAATACGAGAGACCTTCTCTATATTGAAAAGTCATACGTTGGATGTACCACAATGTGGCTAGGCTTGTGTGATTGCGACTCTAACATATTTGCCTCTAATAAAGCCAGTTCATGGTTCGAATCCATCTGAGTCTATTAAAGAGGACGGTAGGTGAGATTAAAGCTTTCGTTCCTGTTGGGATGCCTAAAAAGTGAGATTTAGGGGGGAAATCGTTTAGTGGATATAGTTGCCAAGGTGGATTTTAGTCTTTAACTCAGTCACAGATCATGTAATATCATTGAAAGCTGACTCGAGGTAGGAAAGAGCATCTTGGAGATGAATTTGATGAGATTTTTCGATAAAAGCATGTCTTTCCTCAAATGTATCATGATCCCCGAAGCTGGAAGGTCTTGAGCTGACTTGATAATCTATCCAGTTGTCGTCAAGGCTAGCATTGGTGGCATGGCTAAACTCAAAGCTTTCCTGTTCGTTGCTATTCATTTGCAATGCAATACAGACGAGCATTACCATTCATTGTGGACCGTGATCTCGATTTGGCTTCATTCCCATCACCCTCGTCTGCGGGATTCAGGTTGTGGATGCATGGGTTTTGATGCGAACGTATAGCTGATACGCCGCAAGATTGAAGCACCGTCTAGCTGGGTTTTATCTATAAAGAGCCTTGTGTTTATCGTTACATTTGGTACACTATTCATATATTCTCAATAATGATTTCGCCTCCTGGTCCACGCGATCCTGAATAGAAAGCGAAAGCCAAGTGTAATCTATTGGTTTATATTTGTTGAGCTCACTAGTAGTTAGAGTGAAAGTGTGCAGTTGATAGATTCGAATGTGGGTCCAACTCGCAGACGACGGCAAATTCCTTTTATACATCTTTCATTTGACCCTAGTGAAATATCCTGAGTGACGCTGCCACGTTAGATTCCTGTGAAAAAGGACCAAGCTTTCGTGCGCCATGCTTACAACCCTAATCAAACTAAAAAGTCAAGAAAATTCACCAGATTATCTCTAAGGGCAGCATATCTACCCTAAAGTGATTTAGTTAGTTCAAGTCATATGTCAATCTAGAATCATATGCATGCGTCTGTTTGTGTGTGATTATGTGCCTTCGTGTGTGAGTATCTGTAAGATGCCAACAGTGATAGCTCAAGGTTATTAGAGCAGAACGTAACAGCTCAACAATCAACAGGAAGAGATTTTTGGAAGACCTTCCATATAAGATTAAAACGAAAAATCTGGCCGGAATTTCCATCGCTCGAAACAATAGGATACGACAAAAGGAGTCTTCGACAGTAAATATCTTGTCACTCAGAGGTAACTCGGTTTTGAGCGGCTTATACTCTTTAATCATATTCGAGATCACAATAGTGTGAAATTGTGCTTAAGTATGAGAGAAAAAAATCCCCTTTTGTCAATCACATGTAACTAGGTGCGAGCCTTTCATGTAGGGTTTTCGAGGATATTGTAGCCATAATTACACTTTCGGTATAGCAAAATACGAGCGAATTGGCGTGATTTTATTTTCGCGACTTAGTGCCGTTTCTGGGATGCTGGTTCAGAAATGCGAAAAGTGTTCGAGTAGTTTCAATAAGTTGCCTGCGAAGTATGTAGAACTTTCATTTAGTACCCTCATCGGGAGAACTTCAACCATATGAAACGGCAAAAGTCCGTTATTTTATGAGCAAACTGACAAAAAGCCCTTATGTCTGTTTATACTGTTTCAAAGCCACGATCCAGGCGTCGATTTGGCCCAAACCCAACAACATCACATCCTCGTAACTGAGCCGTATTACTTCTACCAACAATGCTTCTTCTTCTGTTTGTCATTGCTTCGCTGTGAAACTGTCGAGGGCATGTTTACTCAACCCATCTACCATTTGGCAAAAGGTGGAACCATATATTGGCCGATACAACAAAACGCCTACACACGTGTTCGTCAAACCTGCGTGGACAGGAATAACTGTACACACAGACAGTATACACCTAAACATACACCGATGGACGGGTTCATGCACATTCATAGACAGAAGCATGCGTGTGGTCCAGGCGGATTCTGAAAGCGGTGAAGGTTAAAAAAATTCGAAGCT